TCCGTATACTGTAAATATACATTCACACCTTCCTTCTTGCCACATTATTAATCCCTCCCCCCACCCCCCAAACCCCCCAAAAAAACATGGGTAAGTCAGCTAGGTAATCTCATGAAACTCCATCACTCACAATACTTTCATGGCAAAATTTTCTGGCTGTCTGTTATGCACAAATGTAGACAGCATGTGATGGTGCTTCACAGTTTTGGTACCTCACAAAACAAAAAAAAAAAACACTGACCATTTTGTGAATTCCGGTGGACTCTTGTCCCCTAGGGGTGTTGGAGTGCTAAGTCTCCGGTAGGCGAACAAGTATGCCTGGCCGGAAACACAATCTTTTCAACCGAACTGTTTCCTGCAGAGGATGATCATGTTAAAGTGGATTGCTGGAAAGGGGCTTGTTCCAATTTGGGGGGGGGGATTTAACTTCTTCGTTTTACAGTTTTATAATTTTTTAAACTACATGAAAACTCTATAAAACAAGAGGTGACTTGACTGTTATTTTAACAAATTATTAATGTTCCTTAAAAAAACAAAATATTAAAAAAAGGTCAAGTAGGAAAGTAAAGTTTGGCATGTCAATAGTGCAATGTGAACTTCTTGTAGGGACGGAGGGAGTAAAGAGTAGCTACACTTGTACTAATCATGTTAAGTTTGAAAACTGCCAAAAAACTGAGAAATAGCTGTGTTTTCATAATTTTGTTCTTTGTTATTTAAAAAAAACAGAAAATGAAACCAAACAGGCCTTAAAATGTTTGTTTCCGAGAAATCTAAATGGAAAACAAATGTCTACCTGGGTGTTATCATGAGCATATTGAATCACAAACAGGCATCTGCAACCTCTTATGTCATGCAGTCTCTTTTGGATTTCTGTGACACGAGCTTCAAAGTATCTTGCAAGATCATTTTTCTCCTTCATTATACCATTATATCAATCTATTAGAAACCCTTTATCTAGTGAATAAAGATCGATTTCAAGAATAAAAAGTTGAATGAAGGAGACTATGAAAATGCACCTGAAAGCACAGTACACTATCTCCGACCATCACCTTGTTGCACTCTGAATGTTCCAAACCAATAGAACGTTCACGGACTGACCTCCTTATGTTTACCCATTCATCCTCCTCTTCTCCAAACCCGTTAAATCTGACAAGAACTTCCTGTAAAATAAATGGCATTGCATAAATCGTTGCAAATTCAGGTGTGCTACTCAAGTTTTTGACACTTACAGCATCCCCTGAGCTTAGATATCTGTGTGAGATAAAAGAATCAATATCATACCTGAAAAATTCACACAAAAAAGGATCATGAAACCCAATGGGAATACCATAATAAAAGCAAAGTTCTGTACAAAATGTAACACTAAGAGGCCAAATTCAGGAGTGAACTAAAAACAAATGGACGTACTACCAACAGATTCCAGGCATTCCCTCCATTTCCTATGGAACAAGCAAGGATAACCCATAGGCCAGAAAGATTAAAAAAACATGTTTTTAAATAACATGAAAATGCAACCTTAAGCAGAAATAAATGTAATACTATACTTCTAACAGAAAACATACAAATAAGAGTTTTTGTAATTAAAACAGGAACACTTTGAAGGAAAGGATGAAGACAAAACAAGTTTCTTGGAGTGAAGCTCTAAATGCAAGATATGCTGCATGCAAGTTTTAATGTTGAATGGCTATGTACCCAATTAACAATTCCAACTGTGAAATGACCAACACCTTCTTCCTTGGATAATCCGATAGTGTAGGCTTACCATGCCCCATCTTTCGAAGATCTAGCTTCAAATTCTAGCTCCGACAGGTCTGGAGCTTTTTCAGCTGGAAGAAAGTTTTCCAGCACACAGTTAGTATAATAATGATAGTTGTAATTCAATATGAAGAGAAGGGCAGCATTATTCACTTATAGGGTTACATGAGACAAAATGGATGAACTAGTTGTCCCCCAAAGTTAGGTTACATAGGAATTGTTTTTATAGACGTATAATAACTTGTCAGAAGGAATATGGTGAGTTTGATTTTGAAATAGGGTTAAGTTATCAACACTGAAACAATTCTTGGCTATAGTAATATGCAAAACCATTTTTGGTGGTAATAATATGCAAGACTTAAAGAGGAAAAACTCTTATGAAAAAACTTTAAAAAGATGTTAGACCAATTTAACACATTTCTTCCAAAGCAGATATATACTCCTAGTCTCTTAGATGATGTTCTTCACATTTATCCACGAATAAACACATTTAGACGTAGCCATAAACACTAAGCAATGGCATTCGTGTTTGTCACGAAGCTCAAACCTTGACACTAAATGCACCCTTTCACTTAAAAACAAAAAGGATTTAAAGAATAGTAACCATCAACACAGGTGTTTGGTACATCTAATCTAGTGAAACAGAAAATGGCAAAACGCTTTACCAGAGGATAAAACTTTTTGCATATTAGAGGGTTCTTTTTCTTTGTCCGAAGGGTGTGACTCTGGGACATCAGGCAATACTTTGGTAGCATCTGCTGGAGTATCCTTCTCGAGGCAAATTTCCTGCCTATTCTTAAACCAATTTTGTATCTGAAAAATAATGGCGAACTGCACAAATAAATTTGAGTTACAGAAGATGACTGTTACTAGGTTCAGAAATAAGCACAGACACCTCCATCCACTTCACAACAGGTTGTCTAGTTCGACCCTTGAACCGGCTGAAAACAAGACACAAAAAGAAAACATAATGGAGAATTCATGCCCTAATTTTTTTTGTTTTGACTATTGAAAATAAAAGGAAATTGAATGACACATCTAAAGAAACCAACTCACTTGAACGCCTTTGCTAATTTCTTGCAGAAGTCTTGGTCCAAGACATTTGCTTTGGAATCCTGAAGAATGGAGTCCATTCTTCGTACCTGTTTGAATTACGAGAGAATTTGTGAAGCAAATATCCCCCTTTTATAAGTGAAGATGATTAAATATGACTAGTCTTGAAAACCCAGATATGTTTCTGTCCAAAGTAACATTAACATCTCAAAGCAACATTATTCAGCCTATCCCAACGTGAAACAATTGACTTGCACACTAATTTTCTTGCTTATATATTTGAATAAAGAAATGTCACCAAGGGCACGTGAGAGAGGGAAGCATTTGAATACAAAGCAGAAACTTAAAAGGCTGCACCACAACCAAAGGGTGTTCACAAATTCACAAGTTTGATAGCCACCCAGATATCCAAAAGAGAGAAAACAGACACTGAAACATTCATGCAAACATGAACAAAATTCCTTACAAGAAAACAGGCTTAGGAAACCTAACATTTCAACAATGGAATCCATCCATTCCAGCAAATACAGAGTAACAGTCTAAGGAAACCTAACATTTCAGGTATATTCTCTGTCAATGTCGTAAGAATCGTGCGCCTGCCAGACAGAAACCTAAATGCACAACGTCTTTTAACCGCGACAAAAACAGAAACACAATCGCCATAGACAGAAATATGAAGGGGAAAAAATCAGGCCATTGTAGAGAGATTAAGGCAAGAAGTTCACCTCATCTTCGGTGAAACCAGACAAGGATTGCCTCTTCCTGGGACGAAGATCCATTCAAAACCAAACTGAAAAGTCCAGAGACCTTGAATCGCTTTTCAGGGGGGGATGAAAAGGGGTTTTCCGCTTTGTTCTTCACTCCATTTTCATTCGCCCAGTAGTACTTACCTATGAACTTAGGCCATTGGGTGAAAAGATTGATTTGAAAAGTTGAACACCCAACCTTTTTAGGGCGCGTTTGGTGACTAAAGATGTTAATATTCTTCAATCTTTTTTTGAAAGGAATATTCTTCAATTTAAAAAAAAAAATAACTTTGTGAAATCTTCTCCTCCCTCAGGTCCAAAAAAAACCTTTCCTGTTTTGGTTTTTTTTGTGAAATAGTGACACTCTTTGATCACGAATTAAGCATAATCTAAATAAATAAATGATATAAAAATTTGATATACCAAAACTATATTTTAAAATAAATCTAATTATGTTGAATTTATATTATAATTAAATATATATTTTTCACAATTTATGGTCACATGATATCATTGTTTGACCAAAAAAGTTAAAATCAGAAAGATTTTTGTGACTTGAGAGAATATGTTTTATTGGATTATTGTTCTTTATTCTGAAATCTAAAAAGAAATTATTTCGAAAAGTCTAAAAGGATACTTGTGGATGACCAAGGACAATGAGTGGTCATGACGATAGGTTACCAATGATATTGAGGGATTTATCAAATTTTCAAATTGATGTCTCTCAAAATCCAGATTTATTGGAAAATATAATATTCAAACCATATTTAGGTTTCATCAAGCACCAAAAAATGTATTGAGATACGGAGTAACATTCAAAGTTTTTTAAATTCATTCTATTTAAAGACAAATATAGAAACTAAAAATAAAACGTACATATAAAAAACTACATCAAAAGTTCTACAAAATAAAAGGTGATAAGAATATTTTATTTTATCAAATAATCAACCAAAACGCACAAATAAACAAAAATTCCCGCAACTTTTATTTAAATCGTGAAGAGGGTAATTCTTTTTGGTACATAGAGAGTACTAAATAACACTAATAAATGACAAAAAGTGTCATTAAATAATGCCAAAAACACTATTAAACGCCAACATAATGCCAAGTCTCCGCAACTTTTGCTCTTATTTATGAGAAGAAAATTAGTAGATGCAATTTTAATGTAAATTTATTGTTCTACTCCCACTTGTGCATGAGAGAAATTCTTGTTTTCTTTTTACACATGAGTCTTGAACTGTCTCATTCCAGACTACTCAGAAGAATTTGGCACACAATAATAACATCTGGGAAAACAAACTGCAAATTTTGTATCATATGTGAGGCAAAAGTGGCAGGTTACATACAGTGTACCAGTTGACAATTTCATAGAAAAGGGCACAAACACAAAGAAAGAAAGAAAGAAAGAAAGAGAGAAGCATATGACTACTGTATATACTCAACCACTGATGCACAATCTAGTTTCTGAAACTGGGAGACCTATTCAAAAAGAAGAGAAAAAGAAGCTCAAACAAAAGACCAGTTGATGAACATGAAGCAAATGGAGTGAGGGTTTTGTTCTTCGTCCAGCACTTTCCACGCCACGGCCTTCTCAAACGAAACCGGTCTCCCCATGCTTGACAAGCATATCCCACTTTGGAGACAACTGAATCCCTGTGCTCCATAATAATCACATTTTAAAAAAAAAAACACATTTTTTGACAATTCTTTTTATAGCTTCAAGTGAATAATGGGTTGAAATGGTACCTGTTGCATGATCTGTGGAAGCTCAGACAAGAGTGTCTTTCTGCCATTGTCATCAAAAACCTTTTCCAGTGTAATATCTTGCAGTGCTGCTAAGGTTGTTTCCAGCATATCAAGCCCGGCCTCATTTGCGAATGTGAAAACGGGTAAAGCCTGCATTTTTATATAGATATAAAACAAACATTCACTTGAATTCACTTCCCAAAAAAACAAACCCAGTAAAATCCCACAAAAAGTAGGGCCAATCAATAGTCAATACCTTTAAAGAGCAACACATGAGAGCATCTGAGTGATGCCAAAGTGATTTGAGGAAAGATTCGCTTCCTTCGCTAACAGGTTTGAAAAGATCCATGCCCAGAAAATATCTGCAACGTATCGACAAATCAATGCCATGCCAGAAGTGGATAGGGAAAAAAATCGTGTCTTTTTCACAAGAAAATGTTTTCTTGCAGACAAACGGGGGCGTTAGTCTGCGAACCTATAGCTTTGGGTAATCCAACGGGCAAGCGTATGGGCTTCGGGCGTGCCGGGTGGAGACCGAAGACCGGAGTGAGGGTCAAGACGTGAAGGGGAGAGAGCCAATGCTACCCTCTGGACAGACGAAATGATGCCGCGCACATATTGCCGGGCCATAGCTGCTATGTTCTCTTGAAGATGGATGTCAAATGCAAACTGAAAAGCAATTGTCATAACTGATCTGCTGCTGCTGCTACACTGCTTATTAGATTGGTGATCCCCGCTCGCGCGGACCCCACCTGTCCCAACCTCAAGGGTTGATGCCAAGTCAAGGGTTCGGCTTGCGGTTTGGGAATCCTGCAGGACATTTGGCAACATATGGGAGCAGTTAGTAAGTGAAGACTCCAAGAATGTTGGAGAGAGGGAACCAATAGGTACTCACAGCTCTAGAATCTAGTGGAATGATCCGGAAACCAGAGGGAAGAAGGGGTGCATCGTCCGCGAAAGAAGCGTCTATAGGGGCAAAGATTAGCTCACTACTTGTGCCAACGGCACTCTCATCCACTCCATTGCAAAGCTGGGGAGATGTATACAACAGGTTAGGGAAAGCAAAAATACTAGCTTAGAGATCAACTCTTGTACTCTAAGCATTTTATTATATGAATGCACTCATAACTGCTTTTTGGGCTTGTGCTTCTGCTTATAACTAATTGTTTTGGAAGTCTAAAATGGGCCCTAGAAATGCTTTTTTGGCAAAGTTAAGACTAAGTTCCTTTTAGTTGATATGGTTGCTTTGATACTAACACTATGTTTGGTTCAAGGAATTTGAAAAGGAAAAGAAAAGAAAATGAAGTGGAAAACCATTTTTCTTGTTTGGTTAGAGGGGAAAAGAAAGGAAAAGTGGAAGGAAAAGAAAATGAGGAGGCAAAATGTACCAAGTGGAGAGAAAACCAAATTCCTTCCATTTTGGTGAGGAAAATGAGAGAAAACCATTTTCTTTTCTTTTCCTTCCAAAATCCTTGAGCCAAACATAGTGTAACTGAAACTTCTTATAGTAGCAATAAATGAATGGGTTATAAGGAACAGAAAAAAAAAACATACTTGTAACAGAAAGATGTCACTAGCTGCAAACATATCTTCTCGATAGTGGCCCGTGTTTTCCAGCCTAACTACCTCCATAAACTGTTTCAGGTTTTAAGGAGAAAGATTATTGTTTTTGTAACAGAGAGAATACATATTAGGCTTAGTAGAGAGTATATGATTCGAGTAAACGACTTGCCTCTTCATGCTCTATGGTTTGAGCCAAGGGAAGAATGACCTGCCCGCCAAAACTTCCCGGTCGGGGTTGGAGACCGCAAGGGCTGGCTTTGATAGAAGACGCAGAATACGCATCAATGCTGTTATCTGCCCATTCTGACCGGTGCTCACGCAAGAACCTTAGAAGGATTGCTGGAGGTACATTCTGTCAATCAAAACAAGAAATGTGTTTACTCTTAGCTTTTTTTCGCAATCCAAACACGCCCTTAGTGTATTCGAGATCTTTGTTTGAGTGGTTTACCTGCAAAAGCATGGAAGCCTTGGCACATAGAACAGCACCACCCAAAGGTGGGAGTCCATTAGCATAAGCCACATTTGCAGACACCAATTTGGCAGTGGAGGAATTCACCATGATGGCGACATCATCAATGCCATCACTGCCTATCATCGACCACCCTTCGTCCGTAAAACAGTTCACAGCCTCATTAAACCCCCTGCACAAAAAACACGAAAAAAAAAATTTGCTTTCATTTCCTTCATAATTTCTTGAACCAAACATGGCGTAAATGTGCAAGTTTAGAAAAGAATGAATAGATAAACCCACTTGCTCAATCTTTGGCCAAGTGCACGCAAGGCAGCTGGTCTTCGTCCCCAACCACTCACATTAGGCTGAGAAATCTCTTGTGAGATCTGCCTCAAGTGACGTAAAGCCTGAAAAAAGAATTTCCATGTCTTCATTAAGCCTTACATGATAGAGTACAAGTTGACAAAATGTACACATTGCATATCCTCAAAGGACATTTCCATATAATCATGGTTAAGTTCGTTCATACCGCGAGCGTTGTCCTCTGGGATAGTAGAGTTGATGACTCGTATAATGGACGCAGCACTTCAGGAACACTCCATGGCTGTTGGAAATGATAGGATTGCATTGTGATCATCAGTAAAATGCAAAAATAAATAAATAAAAACAAAAAAAAACTTGAAAGTTATATTTATCAACCTCTAAATCAAGATGGTCGACGATATGAATGATGGACCCACCACCTTCGCACGGCCTTATCAGATATCCACTTGGCAACATCTCTGCTCTCACAAAATGCTGCACTGGTGGCATGCTAGGACCATTCTGAGTGTTATTCAATGACCTTTCACATACCTATAAAGAATTTATGTAAAAAAAAGAGAGAGAGTTAGCATTTCAAGATGTCTTATTTCTCATTTCCAATAACATATGCCCTTCTTTGGGCTACCTTTATTTGTCATAAGAGACTTACCACAAGACTTCCATCTTCCATGACAGACGTATATCGTAGTAACCAGAAGTCACGAGCCGGTGCAAGGGTTGTAGGTGCATATAGCTGATTCAAGTAGCCATAAAAAAGATTCCTTTGAGACAACCTACTAACGCTATGTTTGGTTCAAGGAATTTGAAAGGGAAAAGAAAAGAAAATGAGAAGGAAAACAATTTTTCTTGTTTGGTTAGAGAGAAAAAGAAAATGAGAAGACAAATATTACTAAGAGGAGGAAAAAACCAAATTCCTCCCATTTTGGTGAGGAACATGAGAGAAACCCATTTTCTTTTCTTTTCCTTCCAAATTCCTTGAAACAAACATAGTGTAAAGAAAACAGTTCTAGACTTGTGCTACTTTTGTCATATACAAAATTATATGATTTCATGTTGATTTTCACCAAATAAGCGATTTTCGTGAACAAAAAATGGCAAGTAATGAATCCATGGGGGTGCATTAAAAAGTGGGAAATTTTCTTTACTGAGAATGAACAAACCTGCATGTATAGTAGTTCGACGGTGCCACCATTTCCAGTAGACATTGCATTGAGAACTTCCACAGCTCGACAATCACGAAACCAAGATGGCCGATCTTTAAGGATGTCTGCAACCTAGATCAAGTGAAAGAAAATTACATTTGTACTTCAAAAACAGCAAAAAGAAATATCTTTGATTCCTGCATTTACTGTCCAAAACTTCATAAAAACTAAGGAGCAATGGGAACTTCATGTGCCAATATGATTTAGTCCACTATGTTTCCCAAACTAAACCATTGTTAATGATGACTCTTTTGGCTCCATTGCAAGGAAATGAAATGTAATGTTATCAAACTACACTTACTCTTGTTGGTTCCATACCCACAAGACCGCAAGCACGTGAGGCTACACCAATGCAACCACGAGAAATGGCTATGATTCCAAAGGAATCCGGACCAGGCTGCAAGAAAAAAATAAAGTAAAAAAACAAAATTAAACTTATAGCCATAATTCAAATGTTTTAGGCAAGTTCAAGCTAAGATCTTACTAATTATGGTTCTTTAAGAAATATATGAAAGGACCTAACCTTCATTCCAGGCATTTGGACCCACTCCACAGCAGTTCCAGTGGCCTTGGACAGAAACTCTGTTAAAGTCTCCTCAGCTAAGGACATGAGTCTAGTGGGATAAAAATACAGATTAAACCTCAACAAGCAAATAAATATTTAAAATTTAAAAAAAACAAATTTTAGGGAAAAAAATGCTAATCTCGAGTTACCCTGCAGGACTTGCATCTCTCGGAGGAGGACGATGAGGAGTTAAATTGTGTTGACCGCTCGTCACCACAGATTCACAACTATTGTCAGTAGTAGCAAGAGCTGCCTGTGAAATAATTAATAACCCATAAAATTTATTTAAGCAAGAATTTAACATTCTTTTTTTTTCATTGTTATTTTAAAGAAAAGTTTACATTTGCAGTGAAAGGAGCTCAAAAGTAAAAGTAAAGGTGAAAAAAGAGGAAAACATGGAAGAAAGCCCTCATTAGATCAATGAAATAATCAAAAGTTACTCTCTTTTCTCACTTTTCCCTATTTCTTTCCCTGTGGAGATACATTTACAGTGCAATTGAACAAAATACTTGAAATAAATCATCAAAAGTTTATGCTTTCTTATTCTTTTCTCTACCAAATCCAAATACTATTAGATCCCATGAGTATGAAATTTTCCAGTCATCACATTGATCTTTTTAAAGGGGGAAAAAATCAAAACCGGTTCAAGATGGAACACCAAGTCTTAATAGATACTACTGATAACAAACCAAGAAAGATAAGGATTGCTTACATTGGGATTGTGCTGACGGAAATAGCTGTTCTCAACTACCAACTGTGAAACTTGCTTCTGCAGCCTATCATTCTCCTCCATTAACAGCTTATTCATTGCAGTCAACTTTCGGTTCACCGCTTGGAGGCGTGATGCCTCCTTCCGCTGCTTCTCCCTGCACCTGCATACCCAACGAACGTATTCGATGCCAATAATCCTAATAATCCATACTTCATAGATGGTCAGCTTTAGGCCATATTCTTGGTTTAAACATGCCAAACTTTAGATTATTGACATTAGTTTTGACCTTTCTCAATACATTTGTATCTAAAATCTTGTCTTTTTTTAACAAAAAAAACTAAAAAAGAAGGAAAAAAGAGGATCAAAAATCAACCTTCGATTCTGAAACCAAACTTTGATCTGTTTGGGCTCAATATTGGCAAGAAGAGGGCAATCTCTGATGAGCTGTTGCCTGCGGAGTGAGCTCGGCTTGGGACATTCATGGTATAGCCTCTCCAGTGCCTCGATCTGCTCCGGTGTGTACCTCACATATTTCCCATTGTCTAATCCCATCTTCCCACTGTCCTCTTTGCAGCTTGATGTCACTGCCATCATATCTTCAACCCATCCACCCATTTCAGAAACAATCATAATCTTAAATTTGCAGAGATTGATAAATAAATACTGTATGAATATCAGCTATATGCATAATTATATATACATACCTACAAACACTTGAAAGCAAATCAAAGGGCTGAATTAGATTGATGATTTTCACTAATCGAATTGAATCTCAGTTTCTTGGAATCTCCTCACCAGAACTGTGCCAGCCAAAGAACACAGAGAACCATAAAGGTCCAGTCTTTACACAAGAAAATGCAAAACAAAAAACACCCAGAACTCTAAACTGTGTTTTCTTTGCTCAGATGTAGTGATAACTAAAAGTTCTTAGGAAGAATACCATTCTCATTTCTTGGATGGCTTTCCCTTTGCTGTCTAAAAATTGGGCTGGCTTAGCTTTTAAATCAAGGAGGAGAGGCGTGGAATAAATAAATGCTGAGAAATTTGGCCAGAGTGTGTGTGGGGAGTGGAGCATGAGAGCAAAAGCAAGAAATTGAGGTATAAAAAAAAAGATTGGAGGTGGCTGGGGTTTCTCTCTCCTACTTTTCCCTGTTTTTCTTCCACTCTCTCTACCATCTGTCTGGTTTGGTTTGACATCGGTGCAGAGGAATGGGAGGGAATGTGACAGACACAAAAAAGTTAAAGCCGAAAGGCAAATATCCCACTCAGATTCGCCTTGGTTTTGTGGTTCTTGGTAGCGCATTTCTTAAGCTTTCTTTTATTGACCAAATTACCCTCCAACCCTTTAGACTTTAGAGTATATCTTCTATTTTGAATTAGTCCAAGTAAATTTCATTTCTATCCCATTGTTAAACACAGGATCTCTGCAAGCTATACGATCAAATGGGACTCACCCCACCGTTTATGAGACTTGAGTGAACAGTGAATATCCCTTAAGATCACTTCTTGCTCTCTTTAATTTACATCATTAGATCACTAACCATATATTTTTCGGTGGGGTTCTAGTGACACCCACGTTTGGTGACAGTAGCGGTGACACTGTCATTTTGAGGTACTTCCGGTACTCCGTTCGTACCTCCCCTAACCCACCCTTTAAACCCCCCACCTTATCCCTGTCGTAAACCCCCCACAAAATGTGTGACTATTATGCAATGCACAACAGTCACATGTTTTGTGGGGGATTACGGCGGGATTAGGTTAATGAGTTTAGGGGGTGAGCTAGGGGAGGTAGGAACCACAAACGGAGCATCGAAAGTGCCCCAAAATGATAGTGGCACCGGAGTGTCACCGTACTCCAGTGTCACTAGAACCCCGCCTATATTTTTAGACCATTTTTTACTTTCTGACAATTTTTTAGATCTGTAAAAGTCAAACTGTAAAGACCTTAATGAGACGGTGAATGAAGAATTTTATTTTGAGAAAGCTCACATAATTAAAATTTTATAAATGGACATGGGTTAGAAAATTACCCAATGTATAGTAGATTTAAATTCAAAACTACAGTATTTGAAATATCTGAAATGGAATGAAGATAAATTGGAAAGTGAAATTTGCACTAAATAGGATTAAAACATAATGAATTTTCTAATCTAGAATGTAAACTTTTTTATTCCCTAAATAGGACTAAAAGGAAATATGGTGGGAGAACTAGACTTTTTTATTCTAGTGGGAGACGTGTCACGCTGACGTGAAATATGGTGAAGCTGGCGTCATAAATCTCCGGTTAAAAATGTGAATTTTGTTGGCCGGAAAGGGGAAAGAAAAGGGACATAATAGGAATTAAGAAGTTGCTTGGGTTGAAATAGAAATAATGACCCCAAAAAAGAACAAAATTATGAGGTTGTTTTGCATGCGTGTCTTATTATATTCTGCCCCCCTCTTGCATCCCATTTATTTTTTCGCATCATCATCATGCATGCATGCCTAACATGCATGGCATATACGAGTATCACATTCCAAAACAATTTGCCCTTGCTTTGTTAATTTTTTTGTTTTGTTGATAATATTTAAGAAAAATTTGTAGTAAATAGAACTAAAACATACTCCCTCCGTCCCAAAAGAATTTTCTACTTTGATTAACGTGCAAAACCCCGTAGATTTTAAATTACTTTTATTTACAAATTGGTAAGTAAATAACACATAAAAAAAATTATATTTAAAAATTATATCGAAAACTCTACAAAATAAGAGGTAACAAGAATATTTTATTTAATCAAATGATTAATGAAAACACGCAAACAAATAAGAGTTATCGAGAGGCCGTAATAGTAAACAGGAAAGACATTTTGGGACGGAGGGAGTAAGTGATTTCTCTATGTAGGACTTAAAATTTAATTTTTTATTCTTTAAATAATACGAAGTACTTAATTAATTAATAATGTCTAATGGGAAGAATAATGTCCAGTGATGTATAATACATTCCTCAAATTACTCGAGCATACCCTCTTTTTCTGATAATGACTCTCAAGTCTTACATTATCTGAAATATACTCTAGGATATCTTCAATTTTTTAGTAAAAACTTTCAAGTCACACATTATATCCGAAATACACTTTGGGATTCTTAAAATTTGTAATATTATACTTTGAGGGTACATTCCGTCCATTTAGGCGTTGGGATTGAAAGTTTTTTTACTTTGATAAACTGAAGCATTTTATTTAAATTTAATTAGATAATGATTATGAAGATAAAATTTAGTATTTTTCAAAATTCTAAAACTTTTAATCCTAACGGTCAAATAGATAGGATGGAATGTTCCCAAAAATGCATTATCACTAATTTTAAGGACTCTCGTAGTATATTTGAAATAATGTTGGACTTGAGAGTTCTTTCTAGAAAATTGAGAGTACCTGACTGTATATTTTAGATAATATAGGACCTGAGAGTCATTACTAGAATTGAAATTCGATACTCGGAGTAATTTTCAAAATATTTAGCCATGCATTTTCAATAGCTATATTCAATTTTTTATATTTAATTTGTAATTTCATTTCTGTTGTGATGCACCTAAAGTCTATAAAACTTCTTTAGACTTTTTTACGTTTTTCTACAATTATTCATCACAACAATTAGCTTACCCTGCTTTTTTAAAATTTGAATTTTATGGGATAAGAATGAAATAAATAAAAGAATAAATATAATTTTATAAATTTGAAAGTAAACGTTTCAGAATGTTTGGAACTATTGAGAAGAATATCGTATCCATAAAATGTTTAATAGACGGTACTGAAGTCATTTTCAAAAAATTAACACTATAAATTATTTGAGAGTTTTATAAAATACGGAGTATATATATTAAAAACATACACAAGAAATTTTACACATGACTATTTTCTAAATGATCGACAAAAATGTATTAAGAAAATAGATTTAGTTTATTTCTATGATTAGTAAATATGAGACTCATTTGGAGATAAATGGAGTATTATTTAGTCATAATTATTTCATGATTACCAAACTCAATTTTATGTAAACATAAAATTTATACTTTATTTTTGTGGAAATTATTGCGTATATATTTATGAAACTAAATCTTATTTCCTAATACTCCTTTTGTCACAAAATATAAGACTCGTGTTAACAAAAAAATTAAAGTAATTTTCAGTTATATCTAATCAAAATAATTTCCGTCAAATATTATAAACCAAAGCATGAGTCTTATCTCAGAATGGATGGAACCTTCTATTCAATATTTTATTTACATGATTCTCTTCTAGGTAATCTTAAACAATCTGAAACATTTATTCCCAAATTTATTAAATTATATTTATATTTAATTTCTATTTATTATTTTTTCACCCTATAAATTTTAAAATTATTTTTTCATATTTAATGTTTTTTGAAATGGATTAATTTGGGAAAACACAAAATTAGAAAAAACTATTTCGGGAAATTAGTATAAACTTTAGTGTTGTTTTGACGACATTTCGATAGCACTTTGATGTCCGCTAGTTGGGGACTAAACTGAGCATTATTCATAATTAATGAGTATTATCTTGATAATTAGTTCATTTTAATTGGAACTTATTATGGAAAACACATCGTTATTGACTATCATTTGGGAATTGATGCCTCTTTAATTTTGTGAAAATGGTATAAGTTCATAGAGATGAAAAAAACATGGACTGATGAGATCTACTAGAAAATCAATATTTCTTGATTTAAGTCTGATGCAAATAATTACAAGCATTTTATGTAAAACGCCATAAAAAGTTTAAGTGCATGTTTGGGAATAGCGTTAGATATTAGCGTTAGTGTTTTGAATAAAATTTTAACGGTGCAGATTACTTTGAAAACGCTAGCGCTAAACGTTGCCCGTAGATAGTCTTTTCAAAACGCCAACGCTGATCTCTGACTTTATTCCCAAAATCATCCTAAGTTAACATGTTTTTTCACTCTGTGAATTATTGAATCACATAGGTTTTAGCATGGAATTGAATACCATCAACTATATCATCCTCTAAAGCACTCTAAAGAAAAATTTTGCACATTGTAATTCGTACTGGCCTGTTTAAGAATTTTAACTAGTCGGATATAAAAATCTCTAGCTCAAAAAGTAATAACTCTCATTATTAGTACAGAATTAACCAAGCTTGGTGTATAAGTAAAGTGTTTAGAGCTCTAGGATGTGCTTTTAGCTATGATATTTCACTCAGTCTCTCACAATCTCTGTTTTTTTGTTCCTTATTCACTTTTCTCTATGATTATTTAATTTACTAAATTTATATTCGATCACTTTCTTTATGTATACAAAAAAGAATCTGTTCGTGCATCACATAATAAAGGTCAATTTATGGTTAATGAAATTGGGCTGAAATTATATGTAACTCATTTTATTTAGGTATTAGTGCGTAAATTTTGGAGCAAGAAAACGAGAATGAAATAGACATATTTGCATTGGTGTAAATCATGGTGTAAATCAAACTAAAAATGAGAAATAGACATATTTGGAACAAGAAAATGAGATTTCAGAACATAATACTCGTACGTCTCGCAAGAATGACATTTAATCAATGAAAAAATTGATAGAAGGGAACTTGAGAGAAATAAAGCAAGAGATTGAGCTGATCTAGGGTTGAATTTGAAGGGCCGAATCTGTCGATGGCGCTGGATGGAGAAAACGATTATGAACAAAGGCGGGGGCGATTGAGACGATCCTCTGGAAAATGCGATGTTGGGTTGGATGGAGATGGAGACGCAAAATAATTTACGAAGATCGATGACGTTAACGTATGATGGCGCAGAAGAAAAGAAAAATAAAATAATTTTGGATTGGTGCCAATATTGAATAAACAAAAATAATTTAAGTACTTAAAAAAGGTGGAATATTATATCCACATGTTTTTTTCTTATTGCCACACATGGGGAGGGTTTTAAAACCCCACTTTGGAAGAGGCACCGAAGGAATCGCCCAAGACATTAGAGAGAGAGAGAATCCAAAGTGTCTAAATGAAATTTATACTCCCTCCGTCCCTAATTTGATTACAATTTTTTTCTTTTCTCTCGATAA